TCCTTCGTTTTTTGAAGTTGGTTAAAAAGCATATATTTTCTTTCATATATTTTTTATTTATTAATATAATCGACTCCATCTTAAAGCATTATCAAAAGTACATATCAAATTCATTACTATATAATTAATTTATGTGATGACTTTAAAAGTGTTATTTTTAAAATTTATGTTTAAAAGTCTCATTGTTATTACTGTATGTTTTAGTATATATATATATATATATTAAACAAGTTGTTGAATTGTTTAAAATTATAATTTTAAACAACTCGAAATAAATTTTTAATATAAAATCACTTTTAATCGTTTTAAGTTATTTCTTCATGTTAAACTCTAAACATAACAAATGTATTATTATTATTTAACAGCTTTACAGCCAGTGCAAAAACAATATTTTCTCTTTCTAATCATTTGTTATTGGAATATTTGGAGTACGATCTTTAAGATTAACAAGAAAATCGTATAAAGAAGTGTTAAATAGTTTCAAATGGATGTCACCCAGAGACGTCTCGCTGTGGAACTTATATTGCATGGCTGTGTTTCGGTTTGAAGGGTGGGATATGGCAGTAAATTTACAGGGTACAGAGGAATAACACCTGAATCCTCAGAGATGGCAATGTATGGGGGGAACAGTATACTCTGTTATGTCCATGGTTCTGTTCATGTCTATAAGTGACGGTTACCACTTTCAATCAGGTGAGCTGTCAGATTGTTTGCCATTCTAAGTTGCATAAAAAAAATTATAATTCTTCGTTGTATCTTCTGTTGGTAGTCCTATAAATAATGTTTATTTTTACGTTTGATTTTTATGAATAAGGGATTGTGTATAAGTAACTTTAGTGTTTTTCATAAATTGAACGTACAAATGTAAATTTTTAAAGTTAATAAATGCAACTCATTTGTTTGGCTACCGATTGCGTAAACTGGTCGTAAACAGAATATTGACTCAAATATAATATTCTATTAGATGTGATAATTGGTATTTATGTACTTGTTATTTATTTTTACCATTACAAATTTTCATAGCATGCCGAGATATAAATACATACAAGTATATGAGTATTTATATATAGGTGTGTGTCGTGTGACTTGCGTGCAGTCATTATGTAAACATCTTAGTACCTTATCGCATTTACGATTAATTTGTTTAACTAGTGAAAAAAATGTAATTTGCAGGAATACTGTTGTGACAAATTAGTGCGTGTATGAACTCGTCGCTACATTATTAAGATGAAGCGGCGATACATTGAGATTTTAATCGGTAGCAGTCCACCAGGATAAAACTCTCTCGGAACGAATGGGTCCAGGCAATTTCCACGTAAAAAAAGGTAAAGAGGTAGAGCTAATCAAGTACATAGATAGATATATAAACACCTTATTTGAACTATTTATGACACATCTAAATTAACAAATGAGTTCATATAATACAATTAATTACATTTTTTTTTTAATATAAAACAAAAGATAAAATATTAAAATATACTTTCGTCATGCATGTCACAATGACCCAAATAGCTCAGTTAAACTCAAATAGTTACAGCTCAGTGATAGTTTTACTTAAAAGTAAAGCACAGATTTCCAGCTGCAGCCTGAAGTTAAGGTACACGGACACATATAACGAACCCAGATACGTAGATATTGTACTGTAACCAGTATGACTTAAAGGCATCCAAATTATGAATGCCAGGATTGGACGATTTGGATTTCTGCAATATTTTTTTTAATTTCCCCAAGGAAGGTCGGAATTGAATAAATTATTCTTTGTGCAAATCAAAGAGTGCCGTCACGTGATCAATTTAGTATGAAGGGTTCATAAATTGAAATAAGTTATTCAACCCGTATCCCTCGGAGTAAATATCTCGGAGGGTTAAAGTTATTTTTGTTGCTGGTGTATGAATATATGTATACAATTGTTATATATGTTAAGTCTTACATAATACTAGCTAATATAGTAAACGTGTGATTAGGGTATAAAAAAAATATTTATATGGCAGAATAACTGCCGTATAAATATTTTATAGATTTAAAAATGTACTGGAAACTACAAATAAATATGAAGTAAAAAATTATCGAAAGTTAAGCCCATTGCACGATAACAAAGAAAATATTTTTACCAGTTTGAAATTTATTAATAGAAAAAGAATAAAGAAAAATTGTAAAAAAAATATTGATAATTTTATCAAAACACTCGTCGGGACATATTTATCATTTTACATTTACCTAAATTAAGCCAATCTGTGTCGCAATTTACAAGGGTTCGTAGAGGCTGATGAGATGAATAATTCAAGAGATATTACAAAGTTCACATACTGGTTTAATAACTTGTTCCTATTAGCAAACTCGGAAAATTCGCCAGATGTTTCCGAATCAAATGAAATGAGAGATTATCTCCTTGCTTTTAAACTGTGTCTATAAATTATAAGCTTATGTTGATAGCCCTGAAACTTAGCGGCTCTTTTGAATATACTCGTTTATTATTATATGTAAATAATGTAAATGGGTGTAAAAACATGTATAAATACACGTCTTAAAAAAAGTATGATTTAAGTATCACACGTTTTTATCACGTGTATTCTATTTCTAAATAGCTAATTCTCTAATAATATTATAATACAATAACCAGTTTTTGGTATAGTTTATTTGTTTGGAATTCTTTATTATATCTATTCTGTATTTAATTAGAATTAAATAATTATTTATTTCTATATGTGATGAAACTTATATACATAGAAGAAATATACAGCACACGAATGCAAGAACATTCAATCCTAATTGCGGAGAGAGGATGAAAAGGATTATTAATAATGGAGTCTAACTGCTCCATTGCTAGCAATATACCCAATGAGATCGACCTCCATACGGTTCCCCCTGGAAACCATTGTGGTTAATTATTGCTGAATTCATCACAGTGGGTCAATTGACCTGCTTTATCTTTACCTATTATCATTCTTTGATGCCCCGCCAGTAGATACTGATGGCGCAGGCGGGGTCACTATTTAATTTTCAGGCTTAAAAATAATAAAATATCCACCAAGCAAATATTCGAAAAATTGGACTAGAGAATAAACAATTTATGCTTCAACGATCAAAACTAATTTAGTATTGTATAAAGTGTTTATATATGTATGTATAATGTAAAAGTACATGCATATTATAACTTCCATATTATTCAAACAATTTTTCGATTAATTATATTTATATTGTACTTATCTACACGATTGCGAATATAAATTAAACCACTTATTCACATTTTGAAATGTTTTTGTCAATTGTACTTAATATAACACCAAGTTGAACTAAAAATTATGTTTTTTTTTTCGTTTCTCAGTAGTATTCAAATACATTTTTTTTATGTTTGGTTTCGTAGTTTAAAATTTTTACTTATAGTCCAATTAAATATTCATTCGTTTAGATGACTTGAAGACTTAAGATAATGAAACGGTGAAATAATGAGTTATTATAATGTAATCTAGACGAACAAACCGACATAAATTATTATACACTTATTGTTATGTTAGATTTTTAAAAAGCTATAGTGGTCATTTGTATTAATTTAAATTTAGAGATCGAATGTTTGATCGAAATTTATAAATTATAAAAATATTATCATGTAGATATGAGACTCTTATTACTGGAACTATGTAAGTAACTACTTAACCAAGTTTATTGTAAAAAAAAAAATTGTAAAAAAAAATACAAAAATCAGCAATAAAAACAAGAACTCAAATTATAAAAAGTATGATATATGATTTCTTAAAAACTTTATTAGAGTCCCCAGTGTAAGGTAAAATATACTTAGTAACCTACAATTTTAAAAAGAATAATTTACATTAAAACTTGGGCTGTGGATGGTTATGGAAACTCCATACAATGTAAACGCAATAGTGAAGTACCTTTATACACTTTACATGAGTCTTAGTTCACAAATCAATCATACTTCGCTGTCAAAGAAAACCTCATGTATTGACTCGGAGTTCATTGATATTATTCCAATAGTACTGAGTTGTTACGACATGTATTCATATTTCTACTTTAAAATGTTTGTAAGTTCGTACCTATTCGTATGTTATTGTGAATGCTGATTAAGAAGTTACTCAATAAAAGTATCTGAATCGTTAGAAAAAAAAAATAAGCACACAAATCAGAAAAATAAAAAATACTAATAGAATTATTATTAGTTAATAAACTTCAAAATATTATAAGTACAGTTCACATTATCGATCCCATTTCATCATTTGACTGGTATTTCATTTATTTCATTCTATCATTAAGGAGTTGTTACAACATATGTTTCTGCTTTAAAATCTTCGTAAGTTCGTACGTGATCGTAAAATGTACGAGAGGTCGAATGGCTTAATACCGCAATAGCATCAAGGTAATCGAGATTTCAATGCACACAATTAGATAAGTACATGCAATACTTTAAATTCTTCTAATATTTATTCCGCAACTCCAGATATCGAATGCAGGTAATATTATCAATCATATTATTTATACATATGTATAAATCAAAATTGATTTCCGTAATATATCAGATATAATTGTTATAATAATATACTTCTTTTTTACAATATTTGTATTTGACGATAGTTTTTTTTTTTTTTTATAACACGCATAGTTTAGTTATATTGTAAATAAAAACAGACCCTAACTTTTTGTTTTCTTTTAAGGAAACTAATTAATAAAAGATAATCAATTTTGTTTATTTCTAAAATTAGTTTTTTTTACGAGAGATAAATCTAAATGCAAATAAAAAAAATTGTTATAATTTTAAATTAAAAACTAATATATTTTTTGTCATTTTTGTTTTAATATTTGGTGACCGAAATTATAAATACATATTTTTACTTAATTGGATTAAACATATTTTTTCTAACAAATCTTTTTTCTTCTTTATAAACTCTTTAATAAATAGAATAACCATAAAACACTTTACCTACAATAATTTAAAGAATTAATTAACACTATTAAATCCATTTTAAAGATTTAAAAATATCACGTACCTTGTAAATAATGTACATTCTCATCCACTTCGGGCATCAGGTGCAGAAACGTGGTCGATAAAAGGACGCCTCCGCCGAAAGATAGGAGGGTCATCACCACTCTATTAGTAGACTTCAACGAGCCCGCTTCATCAGCAGATATCCAGTGGAACTTCTTCGACAATACAAGAGGAATCAGGCCACAGATCATGGAGGCGGTAAATAACACCAGCATAGATATTCCTTTGGCCAGCACCACGCCTTCGGTATCATCATCGTGATCATCATGACGGATGTCTACGAGTAAATTTTCTGCTGACATTTTCACACTTTTTTATAATAACTTATAGGACCTTCTTTGAGAAGTAGGACAGGTAAAGTGAACCAGGCGAAGGGTGCATGCCCTTATATACAATACGCGTATCAGCGATGTGCGCGTGCGCCGGCAAAGAGCGACGCGCGTGTACTATGCGCCGCTGCCGGCCGGCATTCTATGGCTCTATGGTTTGGCCCACTCCAGCGCAGCCTGCACAAGGTGCAAAGCCTTAAAACCCGTACGATAGTCTCAGGTGCGTTTTTCCTAATTAGTTACTACAAACAATTTTTTTTTTTATTTATTAAAACAGTGGTGGTGATAAGGACTGTAAAACCAAACGAGTCGTATTATTTTTTATAGAAGTTTAACTGAATATAAAATAGCCTATGACCTTCTTTATACCAAATTCTGCATGTCTACTAAATTTTATCCTAATTGGTCCTTAAAATATTAAAAGAACAAACAATCATTCATACAAATTAATAATTTTAGTGTAGTGTGCAGATAAATAAAAGTATAAAATAATTCTATTTTGATCTATAATACATTGAGACACGTATCTATACAGGTATGCATTACAAATAAAAGAAAATCAAAATAAATATATATTAATTTTATAGAACTAGAATGGACATTATCACGTTTCAGGTATACGGTCGAGTTACAATTAATGGGATTTTAACGACAGTTAGATAAGTAATGGGTTTTACCAGTGTCAATATCTTATATAGGTATATTTTTTTAATCTACGTTTAATTTGGGATTTTTTTTAACATGTCAATCCCATAAAATCTAAACAAGTTATCTACTATTATAATTATGACTAAACAATACTACTTACTAATTCACTTAAACACAAAGCAAAGGTATAATTATATTGTTAGTTGTTCATCAGTTTATATGAAAATGCCATTATCTATTACCATTACCAGTACAAATTAAATAAATTGTTAAAATTAAAATATTTACCCATTTTATCCATAATTCCTTCTTAAAAAAGTGAAGAAACGTATAACAGAGTAAGGTTACACATTTTGAGTTTATTCCCTGCATTTTTTATATGAAAAAGTATACGTTATATTCATCCGAAAAAAAATGGGCATGGACCTTTATATCTTTTGATATGAAAGAATTAAATTTATTTTTTATAATTCAGGCGGTGAACAAGCATGCAGCTTACCTGATGGTACGTGACTTTTTTCTCTTTATGTTGGTATCTCGACCTCTATGTATTTCAATAGTTGTATAATTGTGTTTCTTTAAACATTTATTAAATATCAAGAAATAACCAGAAATCTACCATTCTTCACCATCAAAAGGATGCACCTGTTTTAAATTTAATTAACTTGATGTTTATAAATATGACAAAACGTCAAAGTGAAATCCATTAAAAAACAACAACCTTGATTGGCGAAAATGAAATGACAATTATTTGTAAATGTAAGATTGCAAATAGGCACGACTAGTGCCAATTTAAAGTAAAGAAATTAAATAAACAGAATTAGAGACAGGTGTTTGTGATTTCAGCAATTGATTAATGTTATTTTTTTCATAATTGATAATCTTATCTTTTTAACTGCATAAATTTTTACTTACAAAGTTATAAGTTATCAGTATATTGATATATACATATATATATTAATATATATAATAGTCATTATTTTAACATCGTTGACCTTCATAGTATGTATAACTACTCACAATGTGTCGTCTTCTAGTGTCAAGAGTTTTTAGGCTACATTTGTTAATTATTTACCTAACACGCGTCTTTCGAAGCATGAAAAATTACTTTTAGATGATCCAAATATGTATTTGAAAATTTATAGGTTTGATACCGGAATTTCTGGGTTGCACTCAATCGTACAAGTGTGAAATATCTGGCTGGTGATAGAAAAAAACATATCGCTGAATCCCTGATTGGTACTTAGAAAAGACCGAGTGTGGTGATTATATTTTTTTCAAAAACTATTTTTTTTTTATATTATGAATATTAAATGTTTCTTCAAAAATAACATTGTGGCTACTTATACAGGAAACAGCCCGCACAACTACCTTCAATTATTGATTTTGTAATTAAATAAGTACTATCACAGAAAGAGTTTGTACAAAAGTCGTCTGCATGGATCAGTGTGTCACTCGTGTTTCCGCTGCAAAGCAACTGCTTGCATGGCTGTGTTTCTGTTTGAAGGGTTGGATATAACAATGAAATTACAGGGCACAGAGGCATAGCATTATAGTACTCAGGAATGGTAACGCAAGTATTCTGTGATGTTCGTGTTATGTCTATAGGTGACAGTTACCTCTTTCAATCAGATGGCCCCATAAACTTAATTGCTGTTCTAAGCACAAGTATAAAAAATAAGTACGTACTTTGTCCTTTGTGATTAATTGAATGATTGATTGTCTGAATTCTTACTATATCTATCATATTTATTTTACTATTGTTTATTACATTTATTTTACAGTCTTTCTGTCCCGTTGGTGTTGTAAAAGGCGACTAAGGGAATTTAATGATCGAGGAATGGGCAGCAGCGTCCCTTTTAAAAAATCACCAAAGCCTAACTGCGATTGCCAACCCGCCTGGCAAACGTGGAAATTACTAGCAAATACCCTCCCCATGGGGGAGGTCCATGTCCAGCAGAAGACGGTTAACGGCTGATATAATAATAATAAATTTATTTTAGCAGATTGTCTTGCCTGTTTGTTGTGGAGAATCTCTTTTATATACGAGTACAATGATATCGTCTTCTCTTTAAACTAACATTCAAAGAAAATGTCCAAATGTTTTTCACATGTCAATTATTAAAATGAGATTTCTTGCTATTCAAAATAAAAGATATGAAGACAGAACAGGATTGACAGCCTTAGAAAACATTTACAATATAAAGAGCTGCCAATAATGACCATAATTGTGTACACGTAATGAACGCGGTTTATTTTGCGAAGTTGTTTGTTGTTTGATTTCGACACAGTTTACTGTATGTATTTTTAGGGTTCCAAACCTCTTAAGGAAAAACTGCAACCGTTATAGGATTACTGGTGTGCCTGTCGGTCCATTTGCCGCTCACAGCCAATTTGCTTTAAAACTATTGGACAGATTGAATTGAAATATAGTACACATAATCAAATGTAAGTTAGTAACTCAAACACGGGCGTGTAATGTAAATAAATGAATTTTAAACAAGGCAGCCAGATTTGAGGGGTAAATGAGAACATTAAAAAAGTTGGAAAACTATATCGTCTGAAATATGAAAAGACGAAAGGAATTGATGTGAGAATCTCAAATATATATTTTATTTTGTATAATTTTTAAAAAATAGGCGAAAATTGGCATTACCCCCACCGAACCAACCAATATGACAGGGAGTCATGGAAAACATACTCAGCCGAAAATATGAAAAAAAAATTCAGAAAATAAATCTTTGCCTATAGATTACAATAAAATTTATGAAAAGTCTATGATATTTAAAGTAACAGAAAATTTCTTAATATTAGTGCGTATGAATTTCATTTGCAGTTGTGATGTTACAAATGCATACATACTTTTTTTAGTTACTTACCACAAACATATTCTAGTCAGATTTAAAACGACTTCTGTGATATACGTAATCCACGTACGGAACCCTCTCCACGTAAGTTTAACTCGCACTTGTCCCGTTTTTTTATGATGACAGGACTATTAGTTTTAAAATTTATGATGATTATCGTAATATAAGAAATTGTGTCCGTTTAAAACGTTATCTCTTCATATACAAGGAAAGTTTCATATTAAAACTTGTTATACCATGTAACAAGTAGTGGATCTGTACATCCGGATTGTAAACCTTACATATCTGGATATTGCACACGTTTTTAATGTATTACATAGCGTAACATTGTACCGGAATTATAAAAATTACGTTATTCAGGTTTTCGTTATTCAAGAAAATATCTAAGTAGGAAGTACTGAGTGACTAGCATGAATTGCACAAAGGCTTATGAGAATGCGTTCGTTCGTTCAACTTTTTTTATACACAAATTATTGATAGATTCATTAACAACATAATTATAAATTTATAACTGAGCAAATTATCTTACAAATATTATAAACTAACTTTATCCTGCGGTTTTACTCGCGTGATCAGTATATAAAGTATCTTAAGTTCTAAATTAGGGTATAACTTACCATTGTACCAAAATTTTTACTAAATAGTATTATAATTATTATTTAGTAAAAGAGATTTTTTTACTAAATAATAATAAATAGAGTAACAAACATCCATCCATTCTTACAAACTTTTGTAATTATAATATTTATCATCATCATCATCACATCAGCCTTTAACTGACCACTGCTGAACATAAGCCTCTCCCTTGGAGACTTTGTACAAAAGTCGATTGCTTGGGTACCTCTGTCCCATTTGTGTTTCTACCGTGAAGTAATTGTATTTGCATGGCTGTGTTTCGATTTGAAGGGTGGGATATGGTGTGAATTTACAAGGTACAGAGGAATAACACCTGAGTCCTCAGGAATGGCAACGCATGGGGGGTATCATAGGTGAAACAGTATACTCTGTAATGTCCATGGTACTGCTTATGTCTACAAGCGACGGTTACCACTTTTCATCAGGTGGACCGTCAGCTTGTTTGCCATTCTAAGTTGTATAAAAAAAAATTGCCACTCTTGGCAGACAGATTGGCAACCGCAGTTAGGTTTTGGAGATATTTTAAAAGTGACGCCTCTGTCCATATCTCACCGTCTCTTAGTTGCCTTTTACACACCCACGGGAACGGAAGAGGTGGCGTATTCTATGCCAAAACCACAGGGCAGAATATATTCTTAGGCTGTGAAAATTTGTAAAGCTGTTTTTATGTCTAGATGTTTGTTTCTCAATAACGTTTTAACGGCTGAACGAATTTGAATAAATGCATATATTGGAATAACACAGTATTCTTTTTATTGTAATTCTTGTAGATAAAATCAAGGACAACAGTTCTTCATAATTTAAAATTTCTCTTGTTATTCCAAAAACAAATATATATATATATATATATATATATATATATATATATATATATATATATAATATATATATAAATAATTCGCACACGGTGAGTATGAGTATAACTCGTATTCATTTATTCATTTTGAAGTCTTTTCAACCGACTTCAAATTGATGGGGGCTCTAAATTTTTTTGTTTGT